GCGTAGCATTAGTATAATGAACAAAATAAAACAATTAATTAATAATAATAATAATATTAAATAATATCTAAAAAAATCAGAATTTCGAACGGAGTTTCAATTCAGCGATTAATATCTCATTACCTAAGGAATCAGTTGAACATTGGTAAACATCATGACATTTAATTAAATGCACCCTTTCACGTTATTAAAGTCGTATGTATTTTTCCAACACGCAGTGAGAGCCGCGTTAAAAACTGCAGTTTCAAACGCATTTCAAAGAAACTTTTGACTAAAGGGAGCTCGACTATTTAAAATCCAATTTAATTAAAATCTTTTTTACGTTCACAAGCTTCGCGATTCCGAGCATTGCATATCGCGAGTATTCAACGCGTGCGCGACGAACGAAATTATGTCACATATGTCGATCGCGAAACCAGCGTCCAATAATCGATACAACATTCGCGAGATGTCGATGCAAACGGAACAAGCAAAATTCTCCGTTTTTCCTTCTTGACTGCCTTAATCGAATACTTATTTGTTTATGAATAGTATGTGCTTCTCATTCGCACGTACCCATCGATACACGAAGACACGAATTGCCTTGACGATTGCTTAACGTTGCTCTTATTGTTAGCGTAAACGCGCTATATTGCATTGCCATACACGCGCGTATGGTCCTACACAATCGACGACAATCCAAAAATACAATAAATCGATCCAAACAAAAACCGCAGCTTAATGTTTGCTAAGCGATATCGTATTATAAGAAGCAATTCTTTACAGCTAAATAATTCTAAAATTATACTAAAAATTGTATATATATAGCATATTAGCGATCTTTACATTTATATATTAAATATAAAAACTATAAAAATTGTTCCGTAACATAAAACCGAAACTGTCGCAAACACTTGTCCATTTCATCGCTCGTTTTCCATTCCGATTCCACAGAAATCAATTCCGCCACAGAGCAACGTAGTAAGTAACAAGCGAAGTATAAAATCTCATAAGTTTCCAGGAGATTGCGATTGTCCAATTTACTTGCATCAATCGGATAAAATGGATACGGCTACGGTAAAGTGACCGATACACCGACGATATAATATACGAAGCTTTATGTATTATATCTTAGAACGAAACCGCGGAGCCAAACGGGTGAAGCCGCAGGAAAGGGGAAACCGTCACAGCAGACTCTCTCAGAAGACCTCAGAAGATCTATGCGTCGCTGTGTATGCGTCAGTATATGTATGTGTGTACGTGTGCATAGTATATGTATTAATAAATACAAAACGAGGCAAGCATGCAAGCAAAGCGGAAAGTTCAGAGCAAACCAAGTTCACCCGAAAGAGTATTCGAAAAAAATGCAAAATACGCTTCCTCTTCGCCCTCTATTGGTGCTCGATTATCGATTATAAAAAAATGTCTTATCTTAAGAAAAAAAGAAAAACTCTACAGACTGCTGCGTTATACTAAATTATAAACTATTTGACGAATTTGGTAACAACTTTTCTTTAAGTTGAAAATTTAAGTTTCATAACATTAGGAAAGTTCAAGTGGTTTCTTCATAGAATTATTCAATCAATATTTGAAGCGAATCTACTTTGGCGAAAATTTGACGTCAAGCTTGATTAAAGGTGCTTAGTATTACAGATTAAAAAATGCAGCAAATGCAGTGAATGCTACTTAATTAAAAATAAATATCATTGATTTAAAAAAATAGTATTACTTGATATTTCAGTGTTTAAATATTAATCTTTCCTTTAAATTCCTAAGAAGATATTCAAAAATTAATTAAACTTGTAATTTAAATATTTAATTAAATTTAAGATAGACTCACAATTGTGACTTTTTGAATTGGAAATAAAAACTAAAAAAAATTAAATTTAAATTTTTACCGAGAAAAAATCTAACGAAAAGATCCACCAAAGATAACAGCTTTTACTAACATTAAAGAATTATTGCATTTTCTCGTACGCTATTATGATAATATGAAAATAAATTGCAAAAGTTACTTGAAATTCTAACAGAGAGCCGTGTAATGAATAATAGAAGGTAACGTGGCGCCAAAGTGAAACGTTGTCACGAATGCAACAAAAGGACGCCAGTAATGAATCGGCAGATTGTCAGTAAAGGATCTCCCGGAAGCCTCTCTCCCTTTCGTACGCGTTTAATGAGGATTGAATTCATTACCTGACAGCGACTAGTATCAATTAACGAAAGAAAAACTCCGCAGGCCATTTTTGCACGCTGGCTGTCGAGAAAATGATCTCTCGCTTTGTTTCAGTCGACAGTCATAATTGAAGGCGAAAAAAAACGCGCCAAGTATCAGAAAGCTGTTTTTTTATTAACATTGGAAAAACACTTGTCTCCGACCGAGCTTTTAATTGTTTGCGAATATCGCCAAAATACCAACGCAAATGATGCTCATAATCGTATTCTTAAGTTATTCTATTTACTCCCAAGTTCGGGGAAGCAAACGATATTCCCTCGGTAGCAATAAATTCGGCAGCGATATTCTGTAAATATTACAACATGCTCGAGGAAAAGACTTGGACTGCATTATTTATTGATTAACGCATTCCATTGTGGATGCAAAATACGCCGGCATCTTGAAGAAGCGGATATCGGAACGTACAGATTTTTGAGTCATCGTGATAAAAACAAAGAAAAAAAAAAAGCAAAAAAGTGTACGCACTGTCTCGTTCTCACCATCGGAAACGCACTGACCTTCATAATAATTTATGTCATACGTTATTCATAAGCGCGTCTCGCGCGAATTTGTAATAGTGATATAATCCATTTGCATTAAGCGTCAATTTTCATTCGCCATAAACAAGCGATAATTAGTAAGAAACGCAGCAGTTATTTTAACACGCAAAGTGTATCTAAAAGCACTTATTTTATTCGTTATTTGATAATCAGAAATATCTTCATTTCAGAGACAAAAATCGATTCCAAATCAATAAATTGCTATTTATAAAATAATAATTAACTAATATGTTAAATTAAAACCTACTTGAAATATTTAGTTGATTTTACAAATCAAAAATAAATATTTTAAATATATATTTAGAGATTTCAAATAATCAATTAAAATAATCATTTCTCTCATTATACGAGCAATAAAATATTTGTATATTATTTCCACAAAGTACTTTCATTCTATTTACTTATTTTTCACAATTTTGATGATTCTCCGTTTTTATTTTATTCGTGCTTTTTATTAAATTATATTTTTATAAATTAAATAAATAAAATATAGAATAATTACTTTTGAAATAAATATGAACCTGTTCTCTCATTTTTCTTTCTCTAATTATTTTTCTTACTGTAATATTGAAATAATCACAAACACACATAATGTGCAAGTGTCTGAAAATTTATCATCTCTCAAATATTATTTTTAATATTTCTTTTAAAATTCTTATTTTAATAATTTTAAATATTGCACTTTAAATAAATATTTCCTATAAATTTATATTTTTATCATCCATACAAAAGAAATTAAATTTTTAAAAATATTTTATCCAAACAAAGCTATATTTAGATAATTATCGTCAATAGTCTCTATATTTTAAATACTCATTAATAGATAAATATCTAAAAGGATTGCAAATGTGTGTGTATCATGTTTATCGTAAAGTGATAATAAGTATCTATTTTACGACATTAGGTAAGCCGCGTTACTCAGTATTCACCAAGATAAGAAACAACAATATTGTTTACTTTCAGCTCCTATTTCGATATTTTTAACAATAATATTCAACACCCTATTTTATTATCATCTTCGCCCATGCAAATTATTATGAAAACTATAATTCTCGATATAGCATTATCCTGTGATTTCGTCAAAAGACAAATGTAATTTATTCTCTTATGAATAAGTTCTAAATCAATTAAAGATTCTTTATGGAGAAGTCGCGAAATTAATATAGAAAACAGATATTATTTTCAATTACTTTAATTTCTCGAGTAAAATATAGCATATATATCCAGTTTAATTTCACTCAACAAAAATGAAGAAAGTTATTCGATATTATTGAGAACCCCGGACATATTTCGAATTATATTTTATCGCGCTGTGATAAATAAATCTACGAGCAGAGATTGGATAAACTTCTTTCGCTCTGCAAAGCCTTATTGTTTCAATTTATCCGTGTTCATAACCAGTCTTCTTCTTTTCGCGCATCGCCATCTATCACGACGGCGCAATGCAATTATGGCGTCCTCACATTTTTCGCGGCGTCTTTCCAACCAACAGCCCGACAAGAATCCCTGTCGTCCTTTGACGTACGAGGGTGTACGAAGCATTTTCCGCCGGGCGGAAACTATTTTTAGATCACCGGAGAGCTCTCCATTTGGCTCGACAGCACTTCCACGCGGAGAGAGCTAAAGGAAGTGGTAAGTAACCGGCATGTACGCGCGCGCCATCCCATATAAATCCCACGAGTGTAATCCTGTAGTGGCAGTCCGTTATAGGGTGGAACAAACCGTGAAATCCCGGGACTACCAAGGGATCTAAGGAAACACTTTTGAGGACGAAAACGCGCTTCATCCCCCGGACGGATTGCATAACGAGCGATAAAAGATGTAAAATTTAAATAATCCGCGAATAAATAATTTAAAAATCGGATGAAACTCTTTGAATTAGAATAATACGGCCATATCATTTGTTCGCTACAAATTATCTTCCTTTCGCATATAATCTTATTGTATAAATATAGATTATCTGAAATTGAGCAAAAACAAAAAGAGATGAATTTTATAATTAAAAAATATCGCAATATTTTTCTGATATAAATTGTGCAAAAATAAAATGCTTTTCTTATTGTATGAATATAAATTATTTGAAATTAAGGAGGAAAAAAGATAAATCTTACAATTGAAAAATATCGCAATATTGTTGCGATTTATCACGCTCTATTGTCTCTTCAAATACTGTGTATATAAGTTTTAGATAGAAAATCCACGGAGGAGTTGATAACAACGCCAAATATGTATGTAGTGAGAAGACTTACCTTACGTTTATTTCCGTCTTTTATTTCTTCGGTTTCTCACGTGCCACTCCTTCGAAAACTTCGTTTTCCTCCTCTCCCCGAAGAAATTTTCGAGATCGCGGTAATCCTCGCGCAAATCCAAGCAGCACGATACTCAGTTCAAACTGCGAAATGTGTCTTTGCTCATGAAGACCATGACTTTTGAACGATATAACGATCTAGAACAGAGATCAATAACGATGAAAGATTAGATTAGATTAGATTATGAAGCACTACAGCAATGCGTTATTATGTATATACCGCAACCTTTATATGTATACCTATAGTAGTTGAACAGAAAAAAATGTGTTTCGCATATTGTAATGTAAATTTTGATAACACGAACTTGTAATCGAGTAGATTTGTGATTTATCGATTAAATCTCGCGTCTGATTTTGTCCCAGTGAATTGTTTTCGTATTTAAATACACAACAGATGTATAAAAATGCAATGCAAACATTGCATCGAGGAAATTTAATTATAACGATTTAACAAAGAATTATTAAATCGTTATAATTTATTAAAAATATCAAAATCTGGTTATATACACATGATCTAAAATACATATGATTTATACAGAGCTAGATCACGACTTTGATATCTTCTATTGCAGAGTGGATAAATAGATAGCAAACAGAAAGATATTTCAAATTGAATGAGAGAGAAAACAAGTTTTCAAGAAACCAATATGTCTCTATAAAATATTTAATAATTTAAAAACCGCAACTTTTATATATCTCTCAGAATATATAGGATTTTTTAAAATAATGTTATTTAACACGAATGTCAAAAATTCAAGTTGGACAAAAATATAATTAAAGCATAGATATATACATATATTGACCTCAATACGACAATTCAAAGCCACAATCAAAGCATGACGATTAATTGGCCTCTCTCTTTGAAATCTCGATGGCAAGAGACTCTTTTTTTTTCTCTCTCTCAGTGCGCGGTCAATTTTGAGGCGGGGAAATTTAAGAGTGACAGAGACACGTCGGCTTTAATGCGACACGTAAAAGGACTAATGCGCACAGATTTGTAGAACGTCGTCACGTAGTCTTCCGCATTCGAGTGCGCGGCGAAACAAGTTAATTAAGGGGACCACCCGCAGTAGCATCCTCCTTTTCCTCAACGAGATTGGAAACGTGCCAAGTCTGTCACTCTCGAGGGTCGATTTGCCGCCTCGCCCATATCGCCCGTAAGTGATTCAACGTCGACCGCTCTCGCACCGATTTTTCCTTCTCTTTCTATCGTAGAATTACAAATAATATCTTCGCTCTGATCGCGATTGATTAATTCATAAGATAAATGGAGAGAAAATGATATTCATTGCATTTATTAGATATCTCGAGAGAAGTCGAAAGAGGAAAATGCTTTTTTGCAGAATTGTAAAAGGAACAAAACCGTATCTCGATGTCTGAAATTTCTATTTCATATTATTCTCACCCTCCTCTATTTCTCTCATCCATGTGCGTCTGCGAACGCACAGAGTAATTTGAAATTTCGTCTGAACTTCACGCAAGACACAGTCTCTCGCACTAACTTTGTCTAAACTGTCCAATTACATAACGGGAGGATTCCGGTGAACCAACACGACGACAGTGGCATCTCCGCGCTGTTCAGTATCCGTGATAGAACTTAATGCCATATTTCATGAGCTCGTAAAGCGAATAATTAAGACCGCCGTGGATCGCCATCGATGCTGCCGCGTCTCGTCATAAAGTTGTTACCAGATTAAATACATTGTTTCGCCAACGCGGAGCTTGTCATCACGCCGTCATCTATCGTGAATGATGTCGTGAAATCACCCCGAATTGTCCATTCATTCACAGATTTCGATATAAATCGAAAATCACGTTTTATTCAGCGAATACTTTAGAAGGAAATCATCCTCCGTCGCGGAATTCTTGACATTAGAATTATCTCGAAAATTGGATCCAACCGGCGGCGCGACGTTGATTTGTCAAACCGACAACTTTCACGACAGAGCGAGGACTGCGAAACTGGGTTCTCGTTATACCCGGGACTAGATTAGCGTGGCTAAATTCATTAAGTTTGCGGACCGTGTAGGATCCGGGACGATAAATATTTACGTACCACCGAAGAAGAAATGTGGGTTACGTTTGCATATCGCGGAAATGATATTGGGAGCCGTGGCGTCGCGAATGCTATGGATCGAGAACGACGAGGATACTACACGCATAGTCCCGCGATAAGAGACTCGACTTCCTTCGTGAGTTACGCATTTAGTTGTCCGCGTTTATCGCGCCTCGCTCTTGGCCATTGGCTCCTGTTAACTTATGTTACAAATGTCACGTTCCCCATGGACAACCATTAATCGATTGTGTAAACGGTCGTTATTCTCTTTACTCTTAATGTAATATAAAATATAATATAATGTAAATATTTTTTCATCATAAATTCATTTTTCCTAAAAAAATTATCCTTTTATTATTTCTCATTCCTATATTTTTGCATACAAAATATCTTCTTGTTAGAAATCTATCTCTTTTAAGATTAATTCCATATTTTCGCTGTAAAGATCGACAGGGTAAATCGAGCATTGAAAAATTACAAGATGTTCAAAATTCAATAAACTCATTATTAAATTAACGAGATATAGGATCTCTCAGGATTGATCGATGACGACATAATTATTAATCATCCGGTACTTATCTCTCGCGAACGATATCTCTTGGAAATCATACGAGGAAACGAACGCGCAATCACCGATTGAAATATGAGAAAAAACTCGTTTGAAAAGAAGATATATGTATATATGAGTGGTGGAAAAATTATTTCTATAAAATACTTCTTTTTCCCTCTTTCTCTTTTTTCTCGATACTCATTCAAAAGCTTATACAGCTTCGATTCCGATCGGATGATGAGCGTACTCATCGAGTTTTCAAAAGCGCTCCGGAGAACGCTTATGAGGCCAACTCGTGGCATGTATAACCGGGATTCGCACGAGAGTAAAGGCTTGCGCACCGAGAGATTCCGAGAATTCCGTGAATCCCCGTGTCTCCGCGTGATTCCTCCGTCATTATGCGCGTGGCGTCTGTATCTCCGCGCTCTCGAATCCCGTCCTCGAAATGTCTCGGGAACGATATCGGGGCAAATTAGAGAGATATAAGATTAAGTGCTACGCGCGAAATATTTCGTGCATATGTACGTATAATGTAAATACCAAGCTCCTGATTACATCTCGAGAATTCAATCCATTTGCCTCGGGTCTATTATTGTCGTGCTCTCTCTAACTCGCGACGTCACGCGAACGAAGACTTATGTAGAGCTTTTTACTGCAGAATCTAAATTACATACGTACTCTCTACATTACGCAGTTCAACAAAAAAGACAAGCTCGAGAAAAAAAAAAGAGTATCCCTTGCCAAGTTTTTTGATGTCCAATACGATTTTACCTCATACGGTTACCTGAGGAAAGTTTCGTCACAATTTGAAAAACTTGAAGTTAAAGTAAGAAAAGACATTTTTAGGATAATTTATCATGTAAAAGTTATCTAAATCTAAGATACATGACGTACTAGAAAAGTTTTATTTTGTTTAAAACTATGTAGGTTGTTACAGCTTTTAATCAAAAGAATTTCTTGCTATGACTAAAACTAATAAGAAAAACTTTTTTAGCTTTAATTTTCATGAATTTCAATAAATTTTTCTCAAGTACTAACGGTTTTAATAATATACTTGATTTTAAATAAAATAAAACTTTTCCAACACGCCGTAACATGATAAAGTGCGTTAAAATAAACTTCCTTTACAATTTTAATCTCTCCAAATTATGATGTAATGGATCTCATCATTTCTGAAGTATTAACAGTGGTATCAAACATAAAAAACTACAAGAAATAATGATCCCTTTTTTTGGATTTAAAACTTTTTTTTTTGTTTTAAACTACATTATATAGATGCTATACGTGTATATAGCGTCTCAAATTCTAGAACTTATAAACTGTCACAATATTCATATTTCTCTTCCGTCGTCAACGAAACACGTTCTCGTTACTCGAGACAGCATGAATGCAACGTTACTGCGTCACTGATGTGAGATGCGGCTACGAGATGGTATTTTTCACTCCCTTCCCCGCTTCGCGTCTTTGCTCGCCGCGTTCGGTAAATGAATGACTTACCTCGCGTACGATCGTTTATTCATGCGCCGCTCATAAATGAATCATCGTGCACATTCGCTCGCGCTCCTCGGACGAACGAGTCTCCAGTTCAACGACAATTACGCTCGCTTTCCGCTCACCTTGACGACCCGAGGGGCCCCCAAGGACGTCTTAGACATCTCTCTCGTGTTCCTTCCCGCTGCTTTGCTTTACGCTTATGTTCTATTTCCTTTTTATATATGCATCGAATTATTTAGCAAGAAGCAACTCTGAATTTTTCGCAAGTTTGCATTGCTATGCCTCTATGAACGCTACGAAAACTTTCCGCGGATTTTTAAATATCTACTTCATTAGAATTTAAAGTAATATATCGACATTAAAAATCATGAACTAGCAATGAAAATAATTAGTTAAATTTCTGTTAGAAAAATCGATTTCAACTTCGAATTCAACGAGCTTATCAAAGTTGTATTTTTAAAATTAATATTACTGTTAAGTCATTCAATAGTTAAAAATCACCGTTATCAGCAATCGCATAGCTTATAATCCATTGATTAATTTGAAGTACGGTGTCATTTTACGCGATAATTTTGCAATAACATTTTATTAATAAAACATTAATTTTATCATTGAAAAATTCTTAAAATTTACAATATAATTTCTATTTTTCCTTTACATTATACTCTTTCAATATTTTTTTTTTTCAATTTATATAAAAGTCGAGATAAATCAATTCAATTTATATTTTCAAATTATCTCTTTTCCTTCGCTCGTCTCGCCTTACATTTTTATTCTCGAACACTAAATTCGGCTCGAAGGACATTTCCAACACCGACAAAAACACAGAAAAATATTTTCCTAACCAATTCGCAAATCATAAAAGCATAGATAAGAAAAAGACGCCATCCGAGATGGATCGACTGTCTACTGTATAAGACGGAAGGGAGGAAAAAAGGAAAATAATTTGTACGTTTCTCGGCGTGCGTCGACGAACAGCTGCAACTATTCGCACGTGAATATCGACAAACGTTGCCGACGAACGATGATACTAACGAT